ATTTTTTTAATAACAAATCAGATGTTTTCTTTATCTTTATGCAATTCAAAGCTTTTGTAGAAAAGCAAAATAAAGACTCTAAGTTGTTAACCATGATTAATGGTATTTCTTCGTGGGTGTCAAATGAAGACTTTAATGACAAACCATGGAGGAGAATTTATTTACAAGTATTTTCTTGATTAATGTAAAGTGAATGGCATTTAAAGGCAACTTACAGTCAGGCATATTGATTACTACTTAAAAGTGTATTTTTATCAAAATTTTATATTATTATATTGTACTTAAAGTATTATTAAATTTCCTAACTTAAGCATGTTTTATAATAACAAGTTTGGTAACATAAGATATCTTTAATTTATGGTAAATACTCATTTTAAGTGCAGGCATATCACGTAATTTAAAGAATTGATTGATGTGTTTAACTATTAAAAGTGAAAAAACAAAGAGAGGGCTAAACTTAAAAAAGATATGCAGGTTCAATTCAAACTAGAACATCATTTGGTTATTGGATCATAACTAGAACTATAGAACATGGATTTAGGTATGGTTTATATGGATGACAATCTAAAACATAGACCTAAAACTTTTATGAAGAATCCAAGATTCAAAACGGTCGTTTTCAAGTTTAAATTGTAGCAATAAAAGGGAAGTCAGAATCTTTCTTACAACTCAAATACTATTTAGTTTTCAGCCCATATCTTGAGTTCTAAAAGTCCAAATGAGCTCATTCTTTTTTTTAGAAAGCTAAGATAAATTGTCAAAACTTCTATGAAGACTATTGATTCAAATGCTAACCATAGCAATGATTTTTTTGTTCAGACAAGAAGATAATGATTGTCATCAAATCAAGAGATAGTCACCCACTCAATAATTATTCATCGAATCAATAGTTTTGAATTTTAGTCTATAAAAGAAGGCATTAGCTATACATTTAGACATCTTGGTTTTTAGATCAAGATTATATTCTTGCTTTCTTTCTTTGTATTTTTATAACATTTAAGTTTTGCTTTCATTAATCTCTTGTTGATGTTTTTCATCATAACTATGTTCTTATCTAGTTTATTTATATCTCTCTTCTTCATAATTTTTAGCTAAGTTTATTATGTCAAGGGGAAAATGTTTCACTAATAGTTTTAGAATATGTATAATATAAATTCAACGTGGACTTCAATGTTTATATCCAAGAAAGTTTCTTATTAATATGTTTTATCTTTTTATCTCATTAATTCTTAATACCTTGCTTGTTAAATGATTAGTCTAGATTTGTGTTGTACAACCCTTGGTACAATAAATACATGTCACTTTCATAGCCTACGGTAAAGTATAACCGACACCTGTGTTATGAAATGAACTTGATTTGTTATTAACATAAGTTAACATCATGAATTCCTGACAATATTTAAAAGTATGATGTTACTAAAATAAGATAATTAATATGATCATGTTAAAAATTTATAATAAACTATTAAGGATAAATCATCCGATTGAAATTTTTTATGTATGTGGTTTTCAGTTGATTAATACAAAGAGTTTATACTATACTTATTTCTAATATTATTGGTGGATCCTCTAACCTTGATAATTGTTTTTATTTTTGATTAATACTCACATTAATATCACATCTCAAAAGTTCTTTTCAACTCCTTTTTATTTGTTGTTTATAATTGCTTTTATCTTTGATTAATACTCACATTAATATCACATCTCAAAAGTTCTCTTCAACTCCTTTTTATTTGTTATTTATAATTTCATATAGTTCACCTCTCTGTGATTCGACCCCGGTCTTATCAGGTTATTTATTACTTCAATACTCCTATACATGGAATAAAACATCAATATTTTGTCATGTTACATGCTCCTCAACAAAATGGAATAGCAAAAAGAAAGAATAAAACTATTGAAGAAATGGGAAGAAGCATGCTAAAAAGGAAAGGATTTTCTAACAAACAAAAGCTAAATACTGCAGCTTACATTCTTAATAGATTTCCAACAAAGGCAATTAGAAATCAAACTCCATTTGAAGCCTGGTACAAGGGAAAACCTGATGTCAACCATCTTAAAGTTTTTGGGATCATTGATTATGCTGTTATGCCTTCTTAAAGCAGAAACAAGTTTGATGAGAAAGGAGAGACGGTTATCTTCATTTGCTACAGTGATGAATCAAAAGGCTTTCAACTTTTCAATCCTAAAAAGGATCAATTATTGCTTTTCAGAGATGTTATCTTTGATGAATCTATTGTTTATAAATGGGAATCAATCAATCCTGAAATGACAATACTAAAGTTGCTTTAAGCTTTAAAGCAACCTAATGCTTCCAATTGGTTTAAGCTGGTAAAATAAAGGAAGCTCATTAAGTTCTATTGATGAATTAGTATTAGAAACTCCTTCCAAGAGAGTTCATTCATTAACTAACATTTACAATTCTTATCATGTTGCCTTCTTTTCAGGAGAACCTCAGAATTTTGAAGAAGCAATAAGAAAGGAAGAATAAAGGAAAGCAATGAATGAAGAAATGAAAAGTATCGAAAAGAATCAAACATGAAAGTTAGTTGATTTGCTATAAAAAAAAAAAGGCAATGGGATTAAAATGGATATTCAAGATCAACTACAATAAAGATGATAGTATTTAGAAGCACAAGGCTATAATTTTTGCTAAAGGCTACTCTCAGCAACCTAGAGTTTATTTTACAAAAACTTTAGCACCTATTGCAAGAATGGAAAATGTAATTACTCTTTTAATAGCAAATTGGAAAAAGAGTTTATGTTCAGTGGTCTCCAGGATATGAATTAAAAGGAGAAGAAGATAAGGTTTACAAACTTTATAAGGTCCTTTATGGATTAAACCAAGCTCCATGAGCATGGAACCATAAAATTGAACTTTACTGTCATCAAAATAGTTTTAGCAAAAGTCAATCCGAACCATCTCTTTATATAAAGAACAAGGTAAAAGATTTTATAATAGTTTGTCTTTATGTTGATGATTTGATTTATATAAGAACAAGGATATGGTTGTAGAATTCAATGCTGCTATGATGAAAAAATTTAAAATGTTAGATATTGGCTTAATGAGATATTTTCTAGGACTTAAAGTGAAGAAATCTTTAGGGAAAATATTTATTTAACAAGAAAAATATGTTATAGATCTCTTAAAGAAATTCAACATGACAGAGTGTAAACCAGTAGCATCTCCAATGTCAACAAATGAGAAATTACATTAGGATGATGGTGCAGCTAAGATTGATTCAAAATATTTTAGAACCCTCATTGGATCATTAATCTACCTTAGAAATTCAAGACCTGATATACTTTTTTCAGTTAGTATTATCTCCAGATTTATGGAGAATCCTAGCAGCCTTTATCTTGCAGCACCAAAGAGGATCTCGTGATATCTTCAAGGAACCAAGAATCATAGATCTTGTATAAGCAACAAGATGAAAATAGATTAATAGGCTATTCTAATAGTGATTGGGCAAGAAGCTATGATGATGATAAGAAGAGTACAACCAGTTATGTATTCTATCTTGAAATAAATATAATCTATTAGTGTTCAAAGAAATAGAATTCTATTGCATTATCTTTTGCATAGGCAAAATACACTGCGGCAAATGAAGTCGTTTGTCAGTCAATATGGTTAAGAAGAATTCTTCATGGTTTGAGCAAAATGTTCTTAATCCTACCTCTATACTATGTGATAATATGTCAACAATTGCAATGACTAAAAATTCAGTTTTTCGTTCAAGATCAAAACACATAAAGTTGAAGCGTCATTTCATTAGAGACATGGTCAGCAAGAAAGAGATTCAACTGGAGTTTATCAATACTTATGATTAATCTGCAAACATCCTCGATAAAGTTGTTCCAGTTGAAAAGTTTCAGCAATTCAAGGAATTTTTAAAGATTAGAAATTAAGGAGTACTAAATGTAATTAGTGTTAAATTTAATTTGTAATTCTCAATGTCTTTTATTGTTAGCTTTTATGGCTCTTGTTCTTTTGGTTTTCCCTAGATTCTGGAAGTCTATTTGTTCCTAGATTTCATTAATTCAGCTCTTGTTATTTAGGCCTTTCTCTCTTCAGTTTTTGTAAGCAAGAAAGCAGAACATAAGCATAATAAAAAATCATCTGTGGTATTGAGCTGCAGCTCTACCAATTATCACTTCCAATCTTCTTTCTTCTCTGTTTCCGCAATTTATTTCCAGCAAGATCAGACTGCCTTTTCTTTGACGGAGGGAACTGAAGCAAGAACTCGGAATTGGAATTCAGCGATAAACAAAGTCAATTACTTTAAGTTGAGCTGTGATTATCACGATGAAACATTAATCCATGCCCAATGTGTGGACAAGGTATCTAAAATCAACCCACCATTACCTAATGTATTAAAACTTAATTAATTGTTTGATAATGATGACGATGAAGACGACGAAACATGTAGACAAGAGTAGTTATAAGAGGCATGAATCACCTCTTCTTTCAATAGAAATAGGAAGACATGGATCTCCTTGTCGTTATTTGCTTGATTAGTGTGTAGCTGGAGCTGTTTTGACCAAAGAGAGTTTGTAATTTTAGGAACACACATGCCACAACTCAATGCCTTGTAAGATTAAAGGTCCTGCTCGGATAGATAAAATAAAATGTTGGATATGTGTCATCAGTTTTCATAAAAATAAACATGTCCCTGTTACTGGATTCATGGCCCTAATCGATCATAGTTGAAAGTTTTTTCGTACATACACTGAAAACTCAATAGGATGAAATAAGGATCAAGATTATTTAATACATCTTCCTAGATGAGCATCAAACTAATATTTGACTACATGTTCATAACCATTTATGCGTCAACAGAACTTTACAGAGAAGACACTGTAGGATGAGACAAATGGTTGAGAAATAGATAGACTGCTGCTGAAGAATTTTCTTGAAGACAGACAACCGGCATGCCCCTTAATTACCACTATAAATAGACCACCACAACTTCACTAGATAGCATGCAGGTCATACAAAACGCAGGAATCCCGAGACATAGAGATAGAGAGATAGAGAGATGGCAGGCATACAACAGCAACAACTAGTGAATGATACATTGCCTGCACCATGGAATGGATCAAGCAACCGAATAGCTTCTGTTAATGTGGAGGGCCAGCCACAACCTTTGGTCGATGATCTTGAGTTGGAAGACCCAAATCATCAGGTCTGTTTCATGTATGTTCAGAGAAATTAACGTGTTAATTGAATTCTAATTTTTAGTAAGCTTTTACGTATCAGCATTTGAGCACTCATTTTGATGACCAGAAACCTGGATGGAGAAAGTTCCTATCATATGTAGGACCTGGTTTCCTTGTTTCATTGGCTTATCTAGACCCTGGCAATTGTAAGTGCATGTACCTACCTCCCTGCATATACTGTAAGTTATGTTCTTACTGTATTTGGGACTAAATGACTTATAAACAGTTTTATGATGGCATGTAAACAGTGGAAACTGATCTGCAAGCAGGAGCTAATCACAGATATGAGGTAATTAAAAGAGAAAAACAGAAATGAAAAAAACAATATCATAATTTTTCGTTGGCAATTAGAAAATCAGCACGCCTGGATAAATTCACTAACCGGCAATCGGTAATGTTACAAGTATCTGGTATTTTCAGCTGCTATGGGTGATACTTATCGGATTGATCTTCGCTCTCATAATACAGTCACTTGCTGCAAACCTTGGTGTCAGCACCGGTAAAACATTCAAACATCACACCTCTTGGTTATCTCAAAAATTGTTTTGTTATTAACCTTGTTCCAACTTTGTATTAGCTGGGATTTATCATTTTTTTCTTATTAGTATTGATTATTACAATTTGGTGTGAGGATTTTAGGAAAGCACCTGTCAGAGCTATGCAAAGCAGAGTACCCAAAATATGTCAAGTATTGCCTGTGGTTGCTAGCAGAGATAGCTGTCATAGCTGCCGATATCCCCGAAGGCATAATTTCTTCACTACTCTATTACTTTAAATTAATATTGGATACTTATCTATGTCCTTGGCTGTTATTGAATGCTGTTTTGATAAGACACGCATACGTCTCAGTTTTGTTCTTATTCGTCACTTTTAGACTGTTAAAACAAACAGGCTGAATTGTAGTCGAGAAATCAGAGGGGAAAAAAAATTATAACGTGGGATTTCTAAATTTCTTTACAGTGATTGGGACAGCTTTTGCGCTGAACATATTGTTTCACATCCCAGTATGGGTTGGAGTTCTTTGCACTGGTTGCAGCACCCTCCTACTACTTGGCCTGCAGAAATATGGAGTAAGTTAGTAGCTTATTAAAGGGAAAATGAAAATAAAATATGAGAGTGATTTCTGTCCTGGCCTTTATTTTTGACGTAATGTTCGACACCACTGCAGACACATGTCAAGCCTTGAGTCTTCATGAGTTCTCGTCTGGATTTGCATGTTTGGTTTCAATACACATGTAAATGAAAAAAGGGTTTCCATTGCTTGGGCTTTTCCAGTTTATAGTTTCGTAATCGTTATTTTGTCAGTCAAATATTCGCACTTAAGCTGATATTTTGTTCTCTTCTATCCCAAATAAAAAACAAAACAAAAAATATACATTATACTCTATTTTCCCACTCAGACTCTGTATTACCTTCAATGTTTTAAGAATTAGGATGAAAGGTTGTTCATACAAGTCTTAAATGAATGCACTTTCTTCTGAGAATTCATTTATTTTTTGGTCAGGTGAGGAAGCTGGAACTGTTAATAGCAGTGCTAGTGTTTATAATGGCAGCATGTTTCTTTGGAGAAATGGGCTACGTAAAACCTTCTGCAACTGGTGTGCTTAAGGGCATGTTTATACCCAAGCTGTCAGGCCAAGGAGCCACCGGCGATGCCATTGCCCTACTCGGTGCCCTTATCATGCCGTAAGATCGATCCTCAAATATGACTCAATTGCTTTAATTTTGTAATACAACGTGCAAGTTTTTCGATCTATTTTGTATACTAATTAACTCACTCGTCTGTTTTCTCTACAGGCACAACCTCTTCCTTCACTCTGCCCTTGTTCTGTCTAGGAAAATGCCAAATTCTGCCCGTGGCATTAATGTAAGCTAAAATAGAGAAACTATATTACCTTGTAGTAACATTTTTCAAGGGCGGTTAAAGCTTGCTCACATGACATTGACATAAAATTAATAAATTCAAGCACCGCATTTTAGTTCTTTTTTTTTTTTTTCTTCTCAGTTTGCTATACATAATCTTCCTTAAGCAAATTGACTTGTATTATTTTGCTTCTTGAATTTACAGGATGCCTGTCGTTATTTTTTGATAGAGAGTGGATTCGCACTGTTTATAGCATTTTTAATCAATCTCGCAGTCATCTCCGTATCTGGGACTGTTTGCTCAGCCCAAAATCTATCATCTGAAAATGCAGATCGATGTGGAGATCTCACCCTTAACTCTGCCTCCTTCCTTCTTCAGGTAGAAACGACCCAAAAAAAAAAAGAGTTACTATAATGCCTATGTTCAAGGATAAATTGACAATTTGATTTAATTTATTTTTTTTGCAGAATGTGCTGGGAAAATCAAGCTCCAAAATTTATGCCATTGCTTTGTTAGCCTCAGGGCAAAGCTCCACTATCACAGGCACTTATGCAGGACAATACATCATGCAGGTCTCTGACGATAAGAAGATTAAAACTTTAGCATTTGAACTCAACTATTCATAATTCTTAGGAGATAATAAATTACTTTCGGGTGGTATAATATTCAGGGTTTCTTGGAACTTAAGATGAGAAAATGGATTCGGAACCTGGTGACTAGGTGCATTGCCATTGCTCCTAGTCTTGTTGTCTCGATTATTGGTGGATCATCGGGCGCAGGCCGACTAATCATCATTGCATCGGTTAGAAAAATTGACGACGTCAAACTAATCATAATGTTAAATTATATTCATTTTCAAGTGTAACTAACTGTCAAAGGTTCTGCAGATGATTCTTTCTTTTGAACTACCATTTGCTCTCATCCCGCTTCTTAAATTCAGTAGCAGTACCACCAAGATGGGACCACACAAGAACTCAATTTATGTATGCTTTCTTATTCTTCTTGAAATAAATATAAGACTCGACAGCTGCTATTTATATACTAATCATTTTCCTTATTGTGATTACAGATTATAGTAATCTCATGGATTTTGGGACTGGGAATTATAGGCATCAATATTTATTATCTGAGCACAGGCTTTGTGGGCTGGCTAATTGACAATAATCTACCAAAAGTTGGGAACGTTTTCATTGCAATTATAGTATTTCCTCTGATGGCAATCTATATCCTAGCAGTAATCTATTTAACCTTCAGAAAAGACTCTGTGGTGACGTTTCTGGGGCCAAATAAGAATGACCCTCAACAAGAAGCTAACATGGAAAACGGACTAACCAAATCTACCGATGAGGGCCCGGAGATGGATCGAGTGCCATATAGGGAGGATTTAGCTGATATCCCTCTGCCAGAATAGAGGGTTTTCTCTGTTACTGGACAAGACACCACTAATCAAATCGAGGTTAAAATGCTGTAATATGAAGCATTTTTGTCTAGTTGAAGTTCAAGGCTTACTAAGATTTCAGTGTACCACCTTTTGGGTCTCGTAATAGCAGTACTCATCGTTTGTAAATTCTATGAAGCGCTGAAGTTGTAATTTTGGCTTTTATTTCAGTTAAATCGATCATGGCCATTCTATTGCCTTGAAAATCGAGGAAAAGAGAAAAAAATTAAAAAAAAAAGGTCAAATGACATCCAACCAAAAAGAATTACACTGCACTACACTACACGCGTCACTTAGGAAGGTAGGTCTCGTCGTGATGATTCAGGAAACACTGAGGAAGACCTTTTTACCATCGTAAGCCGCTGCAAACATCACCTGAACATTATGGGGCGACTTCTTTGGTGGCGAGTTCAATACACGCGCCATCCACTTTATTATTATTTTTATGAATAGAAAAGTTGACATCAAGAATTATATATAAAAATAAGTATTAGAACGGGTTATTGATACATATCAAAGAAAAATTTATAAGTTGAAATAAATGTTATGAGGACATGTTGATGCATATGAAAGAAAATCACAAAGTTGAGAGATATTAAAATATCTAAGCTTCCGGTGTATGAGCAGATGACATGCTTTTATTCAAGCAAACGGAGACTATTATGGAGTGTTTGGATATGTTTTGTGCTTCATCTGGTTAGCGGGTGAGCATTGCTAAGGCCAAAGTCTATTTCTCTAAAAACTTCCAGCCAAGTCTAGCAGATCGATTAGCAACAGGAGTGGTTTCTCAAAAACTGATGTTTTGGGGAACTCCTTACGGAACAAGATTAGATATCTTTCCAATGTAATTGTTTCATCAACTTCACAACTTAATCTTTAGCTAACATTAAAAAGAAAAAAAATTATTATGGGAAAACAAATTAATAATATAAGTTAACTTTTTTCTCCACAAGTTTGAAAATTTTTTGAGCTATTAAAAATTTATATAATTATTAATTTTAAAATTTATAAAATTAATCAAGTTATGCACAAATTAATTCAAATATCTATAATAATTAAAAAAAATATAAATTAGTGGGGAAATAATCTAGTAACTTGTTGTCATGGTATCCTCATTTAATAGCATTTTTTAAGTTGTCTTCATAAGAAATTGTTAATTTGATTCCACCCCGTGATCAGCGCTATAACTAAGAGGGCAGATCAATGAAGAATATCCTTGCAAGTTAAATTGTGAAGATACTTTGTAGTTTAAGGGGATTGATCATATATAACCAAACCCAAAGAATCCTGCATCTCTAACAGGTAAAGAAAGTGAAAGAGAGAGGGAAAGATAGCCAGCCTGCAGCTGGAACAGCAATTGTTCGATCAGATTGCTCATACATCACCGGGAAAAGGCGAGCGTATAGCAGCTCTAGACTTGGATGGCCAGTCCCGTCCCCACCTTGCATTGATCATGACTAGCAGGTCCATGTTATTCTCTCATGCCGAGCTCGTCTTTGGGTTTCTCCGCCATCATATTCATTGGAAGAAAAAACACCGAACTTTTCCTGATCTACGTACATGTTTGGCTCTTTTGAAGTATATTAATTATAAATAAAAGGAATCAGTAACATGGAATATTGTGTATTATAGGTGAATTCATTCTAGATTAGACTGTACTATACAATATAGATGTACTCTGAGTGGTTTAATTATAAATTATAAAAACTTTCACTATAAACTATACTACGTGACACAGGTGTGGATGGGCTGGGGACAGAGACTCTAGCCTGGAAGTAAGCCCCTTGGAGCTGCTGCCCTTGACGCTTGGTATGCCCAGTCTTGGGGCTAAGGGCAAACCAGGACGATAGGTGTGTGATCACCCTAGGCTTGTAGTTTAGCGTCATGTGATGTTTGGTTCGCTTGTTTTTGAATGCAGCACAAGTGTCATATACTTTTAATGAAATTATAAGGATCGGTATTAAAAATATTATTATTAGTTTTTTATTAATTATTTGTTAGTATAATTAATTTTTTAAAATATTAATAATAAAAAAATTATTATTTGTTTTGTTAATATTTTTTTATATAATTAATATTAAAGAATTATTATATTTTTTCTTAATATATTTTTTATATAATTAATAGTACTGGTGTTGAAAATATTATTATTATTTTAGTTTAATTAATAGTGTTGATCTCAAAATTATTATTATTTATTCTCTTAATATTATTTTTTTGAAATAATTGTATTAAAAAAAATTTTTAATATATTTTTTTAGTATAATTAATAATATTATTATTTTTTGAGTTATAAATAATATTATTTTTATAATAATTAATAATATTAATATTTAAAATATTATGATTTGTATTATAAATATTATTACTTTCCGTAAAAGTTATAAAAGTATATTTTATTGTAATTAATATTATTAATAAAATAATTAATGAATTTAAAAAAAATATTATATCATTTACTAATTTTACCAAATGTATTATAATAATAATTTTATCAGATTATACTTAATTTTACATTTATTTTTATTTACAAATTACATATAAATTATTAGTTTTTAAACTTAAAAATAAACTTGTATCTTATTATGCACCCCAAATAACTTTAATTCTTAAACAGTTGGGTTCAAGACTGGACTTGAATTAGATTGGATAGAACCCAAAATAATCTTGAACTCTAGTTATAGCAAGACTCCACTATACTTGGAAACTAACCTAATAGGATCCAAATATGCTTGATTTTGCTTCTAATTTTTTTCAAAAGTTAAAAATGAGACCGCGGCCTAGCGCATGCTATCTAACCAATATATTATATATGAAAACCTGGATGGAGAAAATTACTTCCAGACGGAGGAGCCGGTTTTCTTGTTTCATTAGCGTATCTTGATCCTGAAACTCTAAGCACCTGTCCTTTCTCTTTTGGTCCTCCTATCTCTAGCTTTTCTTGACTCGTTAACATATAATTAATGGTGTCATGTGCACTACTTGCAGTGGAAACAGATTTGCAAGCAGGAGCCAACCATGGATACGACGTATAAAGAAATACAACCAGAAACCAAAAGAATAAGTGGTGATCATTTGTAATTTTCAGCTGTTACGGGTTATACTTATTGGTTTGATCTTCGCTCTCGCCATCCGATCTCTTGCTGCAAATCTCTGTGTAAGCACCGGAACGTAATTGAATTAAGAAGTGAAGATAATCAACTATAATATGTTTCCAAACAAGATTTCAAATAATTAAACTCACGACAGGTATCAAATCTACAATTTATTAAAACTACTAGCAATTATTTTTGTGCTGCGGCATTGGATTTTCGGGTAAATATTTGTCCGAATTGTGCAAGGTGGAGTATCCAAAGTTCTGATTGCAGGCAGAGGCAGCTGTCGTAGCTGCTGATATACCTGGAGGCATGTGTAAATTCGATTACCGTTAAAAATATCACAATCTATACAATATTGCAATGTTTAACCCTTTTTTTATTTATACTTTAGGACAGAGATCGTGACTCTTATAAAATGTATTTATATAGAAAATATTATAATTATATTTTTGTGTTGTAATATTTATTATTATTATTTTATATTACCCGACATATATAAATAGGAAAGTTGGTTAATCAATACGTCAAACTTTCTAATTATTCTCAACTTAGTATTAAAGCTTTTCGCAATTAGAACTCTTTTTCCCTCTCCCTGTAGACCTTTTTGTTGCTACCACCTTCTCCCCCCACAACACTGATGGTGCAAACCAGTCAGCCAATCATTCAAAAGCTGGTGTTAATGGTTCTTTCTCCCACCAATAACAACCCCAACCTACATAGCAGAACCATGATTTCTCCTCCCATGTTTTTATTGTCCCTCTTCATATCATGCAGACAGCAACTCTTTATATCGTTGCATTGTCTAATACTCATCAAGTGGTCTAATTGAAGCTTACAAACACGAACTATCTCTATTAACGAATGCAAATGAAGTCATATTTTCTTAGTCATGGTGTTTTCCACTTTGTCGATGGCTTAGTGCCATGTCTTTCCTCCCATGTTTCTGATAATTCTAATGGTTCTTCTTCGGCAATAAACCCCTTCTTTTTTTGTTGGAAGCAACAGAATTAGCTTATTTTAAACACATTAATCCCATCTCTTTTCAATGACGTATTGCATCTTGTGGCATTATGCAACTTCATGCGTCTTTTCAAGATCTTCGACAAGGAGATGTTTCGGTTGCTACATATATGCAGCACGCCAAGTCATTATTTGATAAATTGGTTGCTATTGGTCGACCCTTTTCTCTTGAAGACTTCAACCTCTATATATTTTATGGTCTTCGTGGTGAGTTTAAAGACTTGGTAACTAGTCTCGTGATCAAGGCAAAATTGCTTTCATACACTAACCTTCACAGCCATTTTCTTACTCATAAGTTTTTATATAAGACTTCCCTTTAATCCTTGGCTGTAAATCCACCTTTGCTACCACGCCATCTCTATTGCCCTCTGCTCATCTTACCTAATAGCAGCATAGTTGTAATTTTAGTCATAACAGAGGTCGTTCTCATAGCAACTAGCGCTTTAACAGTAATAAGTACAGCAGCTAACACAAGTCTGATTTTTATAGTTGTCATTCCTCTGCTCCCATATAATAGCAGCACAGTAATTGGCAGCAGCCCAGACAGCCTGCTGGTTCTAGGTAGTGGTACCCTCACTAGTCCTATAATTCTCCTTTAAGCAGAACATCAAGTGTCAACTATGATTCTTCTTCGGCCACACAGCCTTATAATGTGCTTCACAGCAGCGATCATCAGATCTCTGCCCATCTTATTATTGGTATTGTTTCTGCTCCTACTTAGTTTTTAGACACTAGTGCAAACCAACACGTTACGCGTGATCTTATAACTCTCATTGATTATGCATCTTATCTTGGTATCGATCACTTGCATGTTAATAACAGTAAGGGTCTTTCCATATCCTATATTGGACATACCATATTACGTTCCCTTAAACGCACATTTACATTATCTAACGTTCTTCATATTTCTCATATTACCAAACCATTGCTATCTGTTCAAAAATGTTATCGTGATAATAATGTTTATTTTAAATTTCACGTCTCTGTGTTTTATGATCTCACCACCAAAACAATGCTCCTTTTTAGTCAGAGCAATGATGGTCTATATGTTCTCTCTAAGTCTTTTGCCACCACCATTCCTCAAGTTT